TGCTATTGGGGTTGGAGGCCATTGCTATTAGGTTGGGGGCCATCCCTTTTCGGTTGGTGGCCGTTGCTATTGGGGTTGGAGACCATTGCTATTAGGTTGGCGGCCATCCCTATTCGGTTGGTGCCCATTGCTATTGGGGTCGGAGGCTATTGCTATTAGGTTGGGGGCCATCCCAAGGTTCGGCTCCATGCGGGCGGGGGGATTGCCCACTCCCTAGCTCGTTAGCTGCAGACCTTAGCGCACCCGTTTTTCATGGGAGCGCGCGTGTGGTCGCGCATTTCCTTTTTTGTACTGCTCTTCGTCCACGACTTGGCCAAGGGAGCCCCCTTGGCACAGGCATCTTCGGAAGGCCAGGCAGCGTATTCGATTGCTGAAGGCTCGACTAATGGCTTCAATGTGGAACTGCGCTAACGTGCCAAGTCGGAGGAGCGCAAGAAGCGTTCCAGATCCAAGAACCGACAAGACAAAGGAAAAGAGGAGGCCAACTACGATCCTCTCAGGCCTTTCGGCGTCAAGGGAGGCAAAGAGGCCAAAGAAGAGGAAGTGCCATGGCAGAACACTACTCCTGCAAGAAGAATCACAGCTCGACGCGCAGACGAGCCCACCGCTGCAGAAGCAGATTCGTACGCAGTGAAGGACAACACCAAGGTCATGGCACAGTTGGAAACTATCCGATCAGCACTGGGAGACAATCCAGCAGAAGAGGTTTTAGCAGCTCTGGAAAGTCTGGATTCCTCAGTGAGAAAGGATGCTGGCAAGCCAGCAGTATCAGAAGATCAAGCTTTGAGTGCTACGCTGGAAAAGGCAAAGCAGAAGCTGTTAGATCTGGACGCTGCGTGGAAGAGCTTTCAGCATATGGCGTCGCAAAGAATCAAAGAGCAAAAGGACTCTTACCTTGCACAGCGAGTCGAAGCAGTGCAGGTGTATCAGCAAAGAGTCCAAAAACTGCAAGAAGCAGAACGAGATCTCAAATCTCGTACTGCAGAGGCGGGCGCTCTTTCTTTGGAGGACGACATCGACGACGCAGACCTCCAGGCTATGTTACAAGTGGCAGCTGGCGGAGAGGCAGACTTTATCGATGTGGATGCTATGCAGGAAGAAACTGTAGAGCAAAATGCCTTCACCCTCAATTTGAAGCCGTTCGGTCGTTTCAAGCCAAACACGACGTCACCGAAACGCAAAATCGAGGAAACAGGGAAGGATGCAGAGAAAGAAGAAGGGCCCCCCAAAAGCAAGGGTCCCAAGAAGTAGCTTTGTCAAACCAGCACTTGCTTGAGGTGGCGCCATTTAAGGCTGACACTTGGGTGTTTAGTGGTGGTGATGCATTCTGTTGCGGTGAGTTTCGCTTTGGGCAAGGCCGCTCATCGTTTGAATGCCAATACAGTCTTTTGAGAGGTGGTTGCTGTGACTGTTCTCGTTTGCGCAGTTTCGGTCATTGCATGCCAGCTTTTGAAATGCATGGAATTGGTGGAAACGTTATGAACCCTCATACCCTTTACCTTGGTCAGGTATTGTGGTATTGGGGTGTGTACCAGTTTCGAGGACCTTTTGTTGCACAGGATTCGCTTGGAGGTGGTCAAAAAGCTCTAGGTCCTACGATGGCTGTGCTGGGAGTTGGATCTGTGGATCTGTATCAGCCAGAGCTGCACATAGCTCGACAGCCTGAAGTCAAATCCAGTGGAGCTGACGCTTTGCAGAAAAAGTTTCATTTGGGGCAAGCTTTGCCTGGATGTGTTGACGATTCTGCTATTGGTAGTTGGCCAAATTCGAAGGATGATCATTCCAATCCGCCCCTGTACGCATAGTAGACGGGCCAAGAAGTTGGTCTTAGTTGGCAACGCACGCAGACAAGCCAGGATTCCAATTCAAGTGCGCATTGCTGTGGGGAAAGTGAATTTTTTCGCTTACCTGTTGACAGTTGATGCCTCGGGTTTGAATAGAGTTGGTGGACAGCAAAGTGATGGCAGTCCATTGAGGGCTGACAGCAATGGAACATCGGGTGACAGCGGGATGGAATTGCTGCATCGTGCCGTTTGGGCACAAATTGTAGCACAAAGACATCAAGTACATGGTGACGGAGTTCCTGTGCAGATCTTCGCTAGGCAAGAAAGAGTAACTTTTGTTGAAGTTGCTGATATTCTTCTTGAGCCGGATTTGGATTGGGCGGAGTCCAGGTTACAAGAGGCAGGTATCAGGCTTCAAAGTCATGTATTGATGCCGGTTATCCCGCAACCATCCTTAGTTACCTGCTCCTTGTTGCTTGTGGATAGGTCTGAAGAGGATGCTGTTATCTTGGTTGGTAATGAAGTCCTCGATCGTCACGTCGTTCCGAGAGGGATTTCGATGATTCAGCTTCAGCAAGAAATTGGAGTCTTTCTTTGCAGAGATCATTGTGCGCAATACTTTCCGTCCGATCATAGGATTGCCAGTGGGCAATGGTTTCGCTCCAATGAGAAGAATGATGATGTGTCCTTCATGCAAAGACATCCAGGACTTCCTTTGGAAGTTAACCCTGAGGTGTTGGTAGGTGAAGCCTGGGTTGGAACTGGTGTGGCAGTTCGAGTGTGGTTTCACAACCACATGCAGGTGCATGGCTTCCGTAGTTTTTCGAAGTTTGTCTGCATAAAGCAAATGAGATGTCCTGCCTTTGCGATTGTGCAGATGTTCAGTCATGAGTTGGGCCCGTCGCTGTATGACCTTGCCCCGGTGCATAATTCTGGTGTTCGTGGTAGGCATTTTGTTCTCACCACCAGAGGTGCGTTTGAAGGAGCAGTAGTGCTTGTACAATCGGTCCAGCAAAGAAGCTTGGCGCAGTGCTTTTTCGCAAGGGTTGGGATGATTGCGATGTTGCCACTCTCTTGGATAGAGTGCAACCAGGCCATTATTGTGAGAGTGGTTTGGAGTGCTGGGTTGAGCAAGAAGGAAACAAGTGGTTTTATGGTCAAGTGCTTCCTGTACGACATGGCAGGTTTTTCCGTGTCTTCATTGATGAAGTTGCCACGCCACGGAGCCCTTCTGGATCCTCTAGTACCTGTGACAGTGTACTTACGGCATCTCCGGAGTTGTATGATGATACTATCCTGGCTGTTTCCAGTCTGAGGGATAACACTGCAACCCTCACGGGAGATACCGACATAGCTCTGGTCAGTTTAGGGGATGGCGCGAGTTTCATGCAGCTTACGAATGAGCAAATGGCTGCAATCAGATGGGCTCGTATTGAGCAAGCCGTTCAGCACAAGCAATCTATTTATGAAGTCGCGAATTTTGCTGTTCAGAACTTCGTCAAACGAGATCTTCTTCAGAGATGGATAAGAAGCATCGACTTTGGTCCAGCTGAAGCGGAGAGTGTCATGCTAGCTGTTTGGCGAATACACCCAGCCTTGCCAATAGTTTATGATTGTGATCGCCTGCTCATGGACGAGGGCAATTGGGCGAGAAACTTTCGGCAATATTGGCGCATCAACGATGATTTTAGGGTTCCCAGAACTGCAGCGGTGGTGCCACAGCCGCCGAGAATTTCTGGATTGGAACCAGCGCAAGTACACCTGTTGGCTTTCGAAAATCACCGGATGCCGGAAGATCACATGGCCCACTTGATTGACATCTGGGTCACAGGTGATGCTCTGCCGCGCACAGGTAGAACCTTCATTTCTCGCAAGGCAGTGATGTGCCCCCGAACCTTCACGGTGCAGCAAATTGGGGCATTGCTGCAATTGGAAGAGTTGAAGGAGGAGGCCAAACAGGTGGTGATGCTATTTTCTTTGAGAAATGGAGGGCCGCAGGCCATATTCCATTTTGATGAGAAACTGCGAGTTCCTGAATTCTCATTCCTTGATTTGGTAGTGGTGCGAAAAGAACGGCAATGTGAGAATGTTGGAAGACTGCATCACTCTTTGGGACATCAAGCTCGCAATGGGCCAAGTGAGGGTAACACTGCAACCTCAGGTCTGGGCGAGCTGGATGAACAAGACCGCACTGATATAGGCAGTCTCATGCAGAGGTTTGCCGTCTCATCCGGTAGGCTGTTCTCGCGCGATCTCTTGCGGCATCAAGTTTGGAGCAGTGAATTGCCTCAGCAAGCAAGTGAGGCGGTGCATTGGACTGTCTTCCAGGACTTTGTGTCTCGTAATACTAATGTCCTAGACTTTGATGGAATGCGGAATGAATTTGCTGCAACTTGTCGCTCGGGCGCTGACTATGTGGTCTTCACATTAGGTCATGCCTCTACTGGCCTTGAGCATTCGTGGTCACTCATGTGTTCATTGGGCGTTTATTCCTTCCAAGAATTTGTTGGTCACTTGCGGTTTGAGCTGTGGGAGGCTGTAGATGTTGAATGTGAGTTCACGGCAGCCCGAGTGTTCCCACAAGTACCGCCCAGAGAGGCGGACAATCTAGACACCATTTACGTGGTAGGCATACAAGAACATGATGCCCGATTGATGCCAATTTTGGTTGTGGTGTGGACCATGTTGGAAGATGGGTATCATGTCGAGAGAGTGCCTCTAGGGGTTCCGCGTCTACTGCAGTGTGATCAGTTATTTAATGGTGGGAGTTGACGTGGTGTGCGCCCATCATGCTGTGTCTTGTGAGATCAGTCATAATTCGCAGCCATGTCGGCGACAGTCATGGTTTGTTCAGGAAGGCATGAAATTTGAAATAGACATCATGCCTGCCCCATTGCCTGAACAGGATGATGAGAATATTTGCAGTAGTGAAGGTGATGGTTTGTCCTTAGTTCAACAAGGAGCTCCATGCAGTCATGCTAGACAGAATGTGTTAGCTTCTAGCCTCACCGCTGCCACACGATTGCAGCACCAATGGTGTTATCGGGTTTGGTGGCATGACAGTAGGCACGTGTCTAGCATTCGACGCGAGTTTAAGTTGTTGCACAAAAGAAGGGATGATTGCATGATCTGCCAAACTAGTCACGCTTTCCGGCAACAGCTAGGAAGCCGACTTCTGCAGTTGGTGCCAGTCATGCCATACAGTGCAGGTACTGCAGATTGGTATGTTGCCAAGCCTATTGAAGAACGATGCAGCATTTTCCTACTGCATATACATCCAGAAGGAAGGGCAGCATTCGGTACCGTGCTGATCTGTCCGAGTTGGGAAGAATCGACTGCGCAAACAGCTTTTGCCAAGGCCCTTCCGGACAATCAATGCGAAATCAGTGAAGGGCGTTGGATTATAGACAGCTTCCTGGACACTTGGTATTGGCATGATCCATTGGATTTGCCAGATGGCACGGTGCTTCGGCTTTTTCGAGTGGATAGAGCGGTGCCCAATAACCATTGCATTGTTGACCTCGAGACCGTCGACACCCCCAACTGGATCGAGGGTGGTCAGACAGCAGTGAATCCTGGTCTTGCTCGCAATTCTGATTTGCAAGAGACTATATGGATGAACGTGGTACAGGGGATAACACTGCAACCCCGACCAGTTGGGGTTTGAGGCATTTGCAGGAGGCCGACGAATCCGATGCATTTTCAGGTATGCAGCAATTCACTACATAACCTCCAGTATAGCGCAAGCCAGCGATTGGCGTGGGTCACGCCAGTGCGTCTTCAAAAGCTTGAACTGCAGCAAGCTTGGTACGCTAGGCAGTTCGATCTTGTCAAGGCGCAATTACACGAGCAAGGGCTTGTGGTTGACCCATGTTCACTCCTTGGATGGATCTTCAGGCATCAACGTCAAGTGAGAGGTGATTCCTTTGCCTGGGGTATGTCCTCGGACACTCCTTGGTCGTTGCAGGTCAGCAGTCTCATGAACAGTGCTGGCTTAGAGGATAGCTTGCTTTATACTGTCATTCCGCCTGTTGAAGCTAGCAGTCGAGGGGCCAGTGGTCATTTTTTTGTGCTAGCCGTAGCCCCTTTTGCTGGATCACAACATGCCCCCTTGTTGCTTGTAGCTGAACATGCGCTCCACCCGCCGATGGTCAGAATGGCAATTGCCTGTGATGAACCTTGCTATGTGCGCAAGGTGTTTGACATAGTAGGCCAGGGGGCATGGTGCAATCGAAGACATATCTGTAGGGTTACGTTTGTCCATGGAGTCTGTCGACGGGACTTCTCTGATGATGAGATTGTCGAAGTTCCCACTGCCTCCAGGATCTCCCTCTCGGTTCAGATGGTTAAGCCGACGATCTGTCCTAGCATTCGGTCAGGTGTCAGTACCCATCCTATGGCGCAAGCTAGGCAGGTCGCTCAAATGATTTCCGTTGAGGGTTCCGTTGATTTTGCACGGGTTGTGCG